CTGTGAATGATATAAAATATGAATGCTGTGTTTTGTGTAATAGTAACTACTGGTATAAGATTGTCCTGTCAGCAAGCTGTTTTTTAAACACTGCAGTCAAACAGATCTTTTCATGAATCTACTCTCGTTACCGACTTTAAGTGAAATTAGCTGATGGTCGCCTTTCCAATAGCTCCCAAGAGCTTTGTTGAAATAAAGATATTTAAAAGAAGTTATCATTGACACCAACAATATTACCAAAATATGCAAAACAAATCTGACTTTTCCCCAAAGCCAGAACATCCTCAAAAGCAGAGGAGACAAAAGACAGTTTAATGGGTCCTAGAAATAAGAACTTGTGCACTTGCCCATAAGAGCTGCATCCAGTACCTACTCAGTATGGAGCAGCTCTGCTGCATCAGGCCGGGGATCTGGTGGTTTTGCCCCAACGTAGGCAGGGAGTAGCACAGAGCCATGTGGTGCTTTCTGCCAGTTATTGGCAGCCTTCAGTTTTGGAAACTCCTTCAGCCAGAGCTGGTATCTGGAATGAGATTTATGACTTTTTGGACCTTTCTTCCATGAGTTTGTCTTGATTGCTTTTTGAGTCTGATTGTACTTTTGGCCAACATTGTCTATAAATATTTCTCACTGTGAGGTGTGTAGGGAAGAAAAATTTTAAACAGTTTGCTGAGTAACTGGTTTTACTAATATTTGTGTAGGAAGAGGAAAATGAATACTTTCTTCTATACAGCTGCTCTATGCAATTTATAATTCTGTGCATCTCTGATACATTGCTGCTGATTTTTTTTTCACTGACTCCCTATTGTTTATTGTTGCTATATTTAATGCCTGCTTGTTTAGAAGATACTTTATTAGTTGAATCGTGTGTGTCACCCTGTCACTCCTTTTCTAGTTGTACTCTGTTTTCATTTAGGTTACTTACGTGCCTGAGACCTGCCTGGTGACATGGCTATGTTGAAATTACTAGGAAAAGAACAGGAGAACACTGTTTTCCTCTCCAGCTAACGCTCTCTTCCAGTATGTTGCTCTTTTGCCATTTTCTGATGCCTGGCACCATTGTTATCTATAATGTTTAAGTGTTTTCAACTGTGCTTATTCTATATACTGCTCTGACTGCAGCGGGAAGCCCATAGATGAGTTGGACTGGTCAGAAACTTATTTCATATCCAAAATTCTTCCTACACTTTTTCCCCCATGTTCTAAGTGTTCTGAGTGAGAAAGTGAATCAGTAGTTTCTTTAGTAGTTGAAAATTGAGGGGAAAAAAAAAGATGTAATAGTGTTGGTTATGTTTGCTGTGAAGTGAAGCCTAATGAAAGTGGTCTAGGGTTAGCCTTCTTGGGAGAACGTGGGAGGGAGGGTGGCCTGTCCAGTAGGACTTGCTTTTCATGTTAAATGTATTTGTGATGTCAGAGTTTAAATTTGGAGTCTAAGTTTATTATTAAATATATTAAGCTATCTTATGTATTCTACAATAAATGGATTCTGGGAATTTTAACTAAATTTAATGTTGTAAATGCAGCCTTCTAGGCATCAACAAACCATTCAAACTTGTCAGCAATTTTGCCTACAGAGAGAATAGCTGTCTGTCTGTCTCTCATGATAGTCCTTAATTTTCGCTCTCTAAATCCCTTAACTGCTTTTGTCTCCCTAAAAGGATGTGATCTGCTAAGCCCTTAGAGCAAACCCACCAGAGCAGGGGTGGTTCCTGGTGACCATCCGAGGTTCCCTTGCTCCCTCAATTGCAGCGAATGCAGAGGCCGTGGCTCTTCAGGAGACTTCTTGGAGGGACAGAAAGAAGGGTGTGTGTTAGTGTTAATAAACTTAATCTTCCTGGGATGCTAGGCTGTAATAAATTCTGTGCATTTGGCGAGTCTTATTTTTAGACTGTAGGTCAGTTGATTCAGGGTATTTTTGGCATATTCAAAGGGAATGCCAAGAAGGATTCTTAAAAGCCTGGATCTTTTGCTTCAGAGAGCTGTGGCTTTTAGTTAAACCTCCCGTTTCCCAGTTCTGTGCTAGAGCCTTTCAACAGTGAGAACAAACAGGTTGAGAACCTCAGCTACTGTCTTTATTTTTGATGCTAATTAGAGCTGTGACTTGCCTCACTTCTGGAAGTACTGGGAAGCAGTAAAAAGCAAGTGGAAAGTGTCTGTACTCACTATTTCAGAATATAATCTTGACTTTTCCTATACATAAATGTTATCTTTACTTCCCTACAGACTTGCTTCATTTATAGGGAATTCAAGGAAAATGATTCTTGGGAGACGTGGACTTGCTGAATTTTATATCCAGTTTAAAAATACTAGTACCTGCGTTTGGTCTTGCAAGATGAAACATACTATTTTTTTTCCCATTTATTTCCTGTGGGAGAAATCTGGAAAGTGTTTTGAATGTGCTTCCAGAAAAGGAGCTCCTGGCAGCTTGTACTGCCCATTAATTCCTACTCGAAATGGAGCAAGAATTATCAAATTCTCGTCATGGCAGCCAAAAAGCAACGTTAGCAGTGCCTCTGAAGTGAGCGAGTGGTGACATGTTGCATCTAAATTTGGTGATTTCTATTTCATTTCTTCCTGCTGACATCTGCTTGTGACATTTTTCTCCATCTTTGCACAATGGTCCTATGCTAAGTCTGGATTCACTTTATTCGAGATCTTGCTTAGTCACAAATGTTTTTTACTGCCAAGAGCGAGGCAGGAAGAACCCTTGGTTATGTTGGTTTGGTGCAAAGCTTTGTCTCATGGCTCTCCTGTATATATTTCAGAGTTGGTCTCTTCTACATATTCTGATTGGGGGCTGGTTTTAGCCTTGGACACTCCTAACTCATTTCCTATTTTTGAGGCACGTCCAAAATGTTTAATGGCAACTGTTTCTTTCTTTGCAGCATCCAAAGTAGACATTGATGCTTGTGCACTCCCCATGGTAAATCTTAGAGCACTTAGTTGATATTTGTGGAGTCTGAGCTTAGTTCCCCCTTTTGCTTGAAGGTTCAAACCTGCATTTCCAAGGAGCTGTAGCCAATAGATAAGTGACTATTCTGGGACTGGAGCTGTCTCTACACCCTCATTGAAATCCTGTTCTGTGGTTTTCCCCAAACAGATGATGAAACTTTCCTTAACAACAGTCTCTAGAGATCCTGACTATCCCCAGTGGAAGCAGTAAAAAGCAGAGCAACTGTATGGAGAAAAGCACAGAATTGGAGGTCCGAGCAGCGATTTATCTTAATGGGAATTATGTGATCTTGGCATCATTCAAGAAGCTCTTAAGGGAGCGCAGTGGCATTGAGACGGTGAAGAATTAACTGGGCTGCAGGGCAGAAAAGCTAGAGGTTAAATGAGAGGGAGATGCTGGAGGGAGGGAGATGGCCTTAGAGCCCAAGCGAAGCCAGTGAGAGGTCGGAGCTGGCGTGTGTGGGCTGGAGCTTGCCCAGGAGAGCACTTCATTTAGCCCTTTCTTTTAATAAATGCTCCTTCTCAGCAGTGAGAAGCAGCCTCGCCGCTCATGGTCCAGAAATAGCGGTGTTCCTTCACTCTGGTACTGCAGTGTTTTGGAAAAATCTCATGTTTAAGTTCCCTGCAGGGTGGGGGGTGACGCCGACTTTGAATTCCACCCATGCAAGTGAAGTCGGGAGATGCAGTGCAGACATCTGCAGTTCAGAAGGACAACCTTGTCAGTTAATTTTTTCCTCAGGTTTATATTTGTGGACACCAATCAAATAAAGGAGATCTGTTGACCCTGATCAAGAGCCAGAGTCTGTACCAGGACACGAGGGGGGCTTCTGCTCCATCAATTCACTTCTACTTGTAAATGTTCACTTTCAGTCTTTTCATGCTATCATGGAAATATACCTGCCATTATAGAAATAAAGTAATAATCATTGGCAAATCTAAAATACTTACACTTTGAGAGAACTTTCACTTGATCGTGCTCACAGTTTTGATGGCTTAAGATACACCCCCAAAACTTGCCCTGTGATGTGCAGGTTCAGATGAATGGCCTTGGAAAAGAACTGCAGTTCTGTTTTTTGTTTTCTTGTTTGCATAAATTGTTCAACCGAAATATTAACAAATGAGAAAAGCGGCCTAATGTAGCCTGCAGATTTGACTTGTGAATTAGGTGGTGCTTGACAGCACCGCCTAACAACTTGGTAAGCTGCTAACAGATGGGTCCATTAAGATGGTGCTTACTGCTGAGAAATAACTATTTTCTATCCAAGACTATTAAGCACAGGAGGTAACCGTTTAGCCCAAGGTACTTCAACAGAAGATGCTTATTTAGAGCAAGTGTTCGACCCTGAAAACTTCAATAGCTTTGTTTTCATAACTTGTGATTTATGGAGTCCAAGTAGATCGTATCAAAATCATTCTTTGCAGCAAGATGCTTTTAGGATCTTCTTGTTTTGGTATTGCTAATTTTTGTACCTAAAGATTTAACTAATTGACAGTTGCATGAGCTGTAGGTTATTAAATTTCTGAAACTCTGGCTGCTCAGACAGATCCCTCAAGTGAATTACCTTATTTCATTGCAATATGCTGCATGTTTTTCAAAAGTGTTTCCTTTTTAATGGTCCTTGGTCTTCTCTTTCTTTCAAAGGCTAGTGTTTCATTATTGGCACCTAAAATCCGAATGCAAAGAACAATATAGAAATATCTTGCACAGTTTCAGGCATGGGGTTAAATTAAAGCTACAGTTGTTAGGCAAGGGTTGTGTGGTATTTTCCAAACTTTTTTTTTGTATTTGATGTTTACCTTTATCTGATAGTCTTTGTTTTGCTGCCAGTATTTTTTTTCCACTAGGAATATATGGTGACTGAACTCCTTACACAAGTAAGTTCTTTCTGTGTTGTTTTTGGTGAAAGTGTTGCAATAAACAATATTTATGACCCTCTCCTGAGTTCAGTCTCACCAGAACAGTGCCACGAAAGCGAGTCTCAAGCACCTCCGAGTCCCTGTTCCTTCCCAGGTTAATATTTTTAACACCGACTTTATCTGACTCATTCTAGGGCTGCAGGGTTCTGGTCGATGCACGGGATAAGCTGGGGATCCCTTGGCAATACACGGAGAATGAGAAGCATGGAATGTTTCTGATGGCTTTTGAGAACAAAGCTGGAATGCCCATCGAGCCAGCCACCTTCCAGCTCTATGTCCCGGCCCTGAGCGCGCTCTGGAGGGACTCGGGAATCAAGGAAGCCTTTAGCCGTCGCAGCGAGTATCAGCTGGTGAGTATGTCCATCTTTACGGTGTGTTAAGCTGTTCTTTAACAAAAAGTCACCCTCCATATAAATACCTTCTCAGCGGAAGGGTAGCTTGCTGCTTACAACGTTGAGCCATCTTTTGAGCAGAGGTGGTGCTGCTTAGTTGTGTTAATGCTGTAAATCTGAACACTTTGGCAGCAGAAGCAAGTGGTAATTGGAGCTAAACTTGAAAAACTACATGGCAGTAAGAGGGAGTGGAAAAGTGCACGACTGGATAAACCGGAAGAACAAGAGGAACCAAAAAAAGACAGGAATTGGTTGAACTAAACATATTTTAGCAACTCAGTAGGTCTGTTCATAGTAGGTCACTGATGAAGGTGCACTTAATTTGCAATTTTCCAGCCCTGCCAGCTTGCACTGTATTGATCCTGGCAAGCTGCTCCTGCGTGCAGATCTTTTGAAAGGAGCGCTGCACCCGTTCAGGCTGTTGCTATTGACCTGTTTCTTTTCATCCTGATGTCTAGAAGTGAAATCTGGATAAGCAACTGAAAGATGACAGCGAGGTTAGAGGAAAATTGTGCTATCTTCCTTTCTTTCTTGCTCTTAGATTTTTATGCTCTAATGGTCGAAATAACTCTTTCTGGTAAGGAATAGGTTTCTGACAGCTGTTTGTGATCATCTCTTTTTCCTTTCTTTAAACAAGGAGATATTTTTTTTAATATGGAACTTTGCAAGGTAACCAAAACTCGAGGATAAACTGAACACAATATAAGTTGTGAAGTCTCCAAAATATAGTCATTACATAAGAATAAAAATATTCGCCAAGCACTTTATCTTTTGTATCTTGTATTATTTTGAATTTTAGATCAGCATCTGTTTTGTTGGGGGGAAGAAAAGATGATGACATTGCTTAGAAGCATGTTAGAGGGTCCAGAATTGTGTCACTTGCCTAACATGCATCTCTACAACAGTCAGGGAAGGATTTTTGATTCAGTAGTTTGGGATTAGTTTCTGTACTTGTAAGACTTGGAATAGGGGACTGATACTTTGTGTGGGTGGAAGTCTGACCATTTTGCAGTAAAGATCAAAATCATCAGTCTAATACCAGTTTCTGTACGCTTCCAATTAAAGATTCAAGAAGAGCAGCTAGTTAAACATAATAGAGAGGGTAATGCAGCACCATCATATACCTATGCTCTATAGGAGTGTTCCTTTGATTTTTTTGTTTTCCCTGAGTTGACACTAGGTTGCTTCTCTGCTAAACAGGCACTCATACTTAATAATGGCACTTAGACTTGTCTAGCAGCTTTGAAAGGAGAACAGAATAACCTTGCCTGTTTTCTTCTGGAAACACATTGTGCTTTTATGTTCAGAAGTGCAAGAATATTCTTTACATTCTGTCTCGTGATCTCGGTAAAGTGTCTTAAAACTAATTGCATGTCATTCAATTAGTTGAAAAATTCAGTAGCATAATTCAAACATTTCATGTCAAAAAGCTTGCAGCAGAAATGACAGCATTCTTTCTTTCATGTTTTTTAGATTTAAATAGAATAATTAGAATTGATGGAATAGCTACAAATAAGATTAAAATAAACACTTCTGTGTATCTCTGTTTCCTGGTGGTAGGATTTGTCATCTGTGAAGGCTTTATTTAATCTTTGCAGTTGTCAGTATTGTACTACATTTTTTCTGCAGCTCTCTACCCTGAAAGTAAAATTGTGCTGCTGCTTAAATGTCTTAAATTCTTAGATTTAGAATAACTTTTTAAAAAATGACTGGAAAAAAAAACTTATTTGGGTTGGTTGGGTTGGTGGGTTTTTTTTAAACCCTGAGTGTAGTGTAGTCTTTCACAATGTGTAGTAATGTCTGAGGAGCTGTTACCTCTGATTAGCAACCAGTTGACTGCCTATTTTTCTTCTTTCTTCCCTGTTCTGTGGAACAAGGTACCTGTGAGTGCAACTAAATTATCACATTTACTGGTTCTTTGAAGGCAGTATGGGTTAATTCTGATTCTTCCATTTCAGTTTACCTATGTGATTCAACTTAGTAAATCTAACAAATAATTTCTTTTAAGCATTTATAGTCGCAGAGCAGGACTCTGCCATTCAAAGTACTGTTCAGTGCAGAACAAAAAATTGGGTTCCCTGCCATGTGGAACCTCAATTTAACATGAGATGACTACTAAGAATCTAGTACAATGAGCAGTAGTAACTCTATTGGCAGCCTGTTAAGAACTTTATTTTTCTGGGGAACACAATGTTTGAGAGAGTTTTGCTTTTTTAAGGAGCAATTCAGATTAGGATCGTGTGGGAGGTTCTTCCCCATACCACTTAGCAATAAAATTGCATCAAACTGGAAAAAAAATGTCCAGTTTGAATAAATAGCATTCCAAGTCCAGTAAGCCTACCTCTGCCTTTCTGGCTTGGAGTGCATGATTTAAACAGGAAATACCAAAATATAATAGAAAAGCACACCCAAACCCCACAAAAGCCAGGCTTCCAGGCTCGCAAGTGATCGTATGCTGTGCTATCTCCTTCAGCACCATGGTGGGGTGTTCTAGTGTGCTGCTTTTTCCCTGGCATTCATTATCTGTTTAATGTTACATTAAAAGGGCTACAAGTCCCTGAGCTCTCAACATGTAGTGCGCTGCATCACTGAGCTGTTGACCAAAAAACCCCTGTTTTTAACTCAGTCCTGTTGCTTGCCTCATAGCAGCTACAGCTTCCTGGGTTTTGTTATTTCCAGGCAGGCTGTGTCACCAGGAGATGATGAAAATAACTCAATTGTGAATAAAAAGCACTTTATTGCATAAACGTTTCATAAATTTAATAGGCTGATTTCATGGATGCAGATGCTAGTTTTGGCTTGATGGCGAAACAGATTTTTCATCTCAATAACTTGAGCAAGTTTCCATGCTTCACTTCTAGACTAGCAAACCCCTGATTCTCCAAGCTAGATGATGTCTAGGTGACTAGAAACACTTTGGATTCTTAAAAATATTTTTAACTTCATAACTCTTTATGGAAAATCCACAGAGATGCTTTATTTATAATTGCATATAATGTGTATCCACCCATACCTCCAGTTTACTATTTAGTTTAAATGTTGCCTCCATGCAGACTGGTGTAAATTAATAGAAGGCGGCTATGTTAAACTTGGAGAAATAATTCTTTGCTGATTTACTTGAGGCTAAATAACTGCTGTGTATCAGCACTTTCTCTTATTTTAAGTAAGCAATTATATGGAATATACTTGGATCAAACAATTTATTATCTCTATACTTGTCTTAAAATCGTTATCTTGAAACTTTACACTGGTATGATTTTTCTGAAAGCTGCTGGATAGTTTTGAAGTCAAGATCTTGCTCTGACTTCAGATTTTCTTCATCATGGCTTTACAGTCACATTAACACATTTAATTATTGCTATTATTTTGGCTCCAGTAATAGCTCTCTAGTCAGCACAGCCGTGACTTCTGAGGCACCTTATGATCTGCTTTGGAGCTGTCTGTATTTCTTCAGGAAATTGTGTTTCTTGATAAAAATAAATAAGGCAAGTGTGCAGTGTTGGTTGAGTTAAATTGCAGAACGCAGGTGTCTTGCTATGGTCTGTGATGGTAAATGTAATGCCTGACGTAGCACCAGGGAAGCTGTGGAGAGCAGAGGGCTCGGGCCGTAGCCTCCCACAGTGGGGAAGCTTTTTTGCTGGCGCTGCAGAAGCCGCCTGCGGCAGCGCAGCATTTTCTGCTTCATATTCAGGGCCTACAAGGGCTGGCTGCAAATCCCCGTCTGGGGCTTTGAGTCCTTCAGAAATGAGTGGGTGGATCTGCAGGATGGCGGGGGGGTTGTTTGGTTTTTTGCTTTGCTGTCTGTCTTGGAGCAGCCTGAGCGATTCCCGTGGCTTTTCCCAACATCCCCTCCCCAGCCTGTCCCCGCCAGCCCAAGCTCCTCCGCTGCTTGTGCGCAAGCCAAGTAGTGCGGGGACAAAAGCCTCTTTGTGCGCTTGGCTACATTGTCAAGTCTCTGTCCTCGTTTTTAACGTCTGGGATAGGAATGCCTTTGTAATCAGTATGCGATATTCCTTCCTCTCCCTTGCCCTCATTATTTTCTCCCATTTTCTAGCCGTATGGCAGAAAGGAATATGTTTATTGCATGCTGCCAAAGCTCTCTGGCAGATGCTCTTTCCCCGGTTGCCTTGGATGTTTTGGGCAACTGGATGTCATTCTGCCTCGCCAGCAGATGGAGACAAATTTCCTTTGGAGTGACTTCCCCTTTTAAAGGAAATTGGTATTTCGGGAGAGCTGCTTATGCCCTAACTGCAAGAAGGGAAGCTTCTTCAGTGGAGTCTATTAGCAGGTGTCCAGGTGTATTTGGGAGTTTGGGGGCATATACTGCAATAGCCTGCAAACTTTTTTGCACTCAAGAATAATATGAGACTGAGGAATTACTTTGGTCAGGGCTGTTTTGGTTCTTCCAGTGTCTACACCGTTTCTTCCAATATCTACACCTGACTCCCATGAGCTACACTGGATAGTTGCTGCATTCAGTGGTATGTGTGAGGAAGCAGGGGGGAAAGGTAAGGGACAACCTGCATCTTTAGCAATTTTGGCAAGGGAAGAGTTGTGGTTTGCATTTCCATGCCGCCAGAAAAGCTGCATCAGGGGCACTGGGCAGTGTCACAGAGCATCGTGGTTCTCTAGCAGTGACAGGAGACAGCAGCAGGTTTATGCCAATTTATGCACTGGAAGTGCTTTGGAGTCGGGTGGTAAATCACAAAGCAAACACGAGATGTTACAGAACTAGTTTTCTCTGAAAGGAGAAGGAGCAACAACTGCTGTCTTCATTAGATAAGCAGAAATGTTTTTTTTCCTTTTTTTTTTTCATCAGACAATTTCATGCATCAAGTCACCAGTTCTATGCCATGACCATTAAGAAGCATTCACATTCATTTTAATGTGTCCAGACAAACATAAAAACAACTGAACTGAGGTCAGTTGCTTTTTGACTACTTGCAACTTGGTGTGTA